GCGTTTGCGCTCGCGGGCGCGCGCGAGGCGCTTCGGTCGTACGACGTCGTCGCCGTCGCGCCCGGCTCGGAGGCGGTGCTCGAACGCGTGCTCACTTCGCCCGCGCGCGAGCTCATCGACCTGGTGTGCCTCCCGTCTGCGCACGCGCCGCCCTTTTCGCTGCGCCCGCACGCGGCTCGGAGGGTCCTCGCCGCGGGCCTCCAGCTCGAGCTCTGCTACTCCGCCGCCTTGCGCGACGCCGCGTCGCGCCGCCACTTCTTCGCGAACCTGCGCGCCTGCCTCGAGGCGCTGCCCGGCGCGGCGCGCAAGCGCGGCGCGGCCGGGCTGGTCCTCTCGTCCGGCGCCGACGAGCCGCGCCTGCTCCGCGAGCCGCGAGACGTCGCCTCCCTCGTCTCGCTCGTCGGGGCAGGCCCGCTCGCCGGCCGCGCCGCGCTCGCCGTCAACCCATTCCGCGCGCTCGAGCGGGCCGCGAGGCGCCAGTACCCGCCGCCGCTCGCGCCGCCGCCGCCGCATGGACTCTGCTCCATCGGTCTCGTCCCCACGCGCGCCGCCGCCGCCGTCGCCGCCGCCTCCGCTGGCGGAGGCGCGAGTGGCGCTGGCGGCGAGCAGCAGCACCATCACCACCAAAAGATGCGGCGGAGATGATGCCGACTCCGTCACATCTCTTTCCGTTTCTGCATACATAACTCTCCCGTGCCCTGTGCTCCGAAAACGCCTCCATCCACCTGTGCGTGTGCGAATCTGCGAAAATAAGCGTTAAGGATAAGGTAGGGCACGTGCGGCTGCGCCAAGCGATGACCTCTCAGCCCGTCACGCGTCTCAGTCCGAGACCGCCTGAGCCCTGGTGTCGAGGTGTCGAGGCCCGGTGTCGAGGGTGTTCCGAGATGCTGTCGAGGGATAGAGGTGTCGAGGCCTGTCGAGGCCTGTCGAGGCCTGTCGAGGCCTGTCGAGGCTGGGACCAAGCTTGTCCGTGTCGAGGGGTGTCGAGGGGTGTCGAGGGTGTCGAGGGTGTCGAGGGTGTCGAGCAGGTGTCGAGTGTTGTCAAGGGGTTTTGCGTCTAAGGTGTCGAGGTGTCCAAGGTGGTTGCAGCCCATCAACAAAACTTGGGCAGCAGTTGCAAAGCTGTTTCATCCCTTAGTTGCAGCCTCAGTTGCACCCTGTTGATGTAGCACAACCTGAGCACAACCAGTATACTCTCTGTGGACATTTGAGGACATCAAGTGCCGGGAGTCATTGCCACTGTGCACAAAGGTGCTGTGCAGGCGCAGCACCGCAGCAGCGTCGCCGCTGCAGCAGCGTCGCCCCTGCAGCGTCACCGGCGCACAAAGCGCAACTGACCACAGCGCTCATGGCACAAGGCTGGTCCCATGACTCATTTCACATGTCCACTCCCCATACTGCTGTCCAGCAGATATGTTCCGTCAGTATCTCATCGCAGCTCCGTGACTGCGTCCTTTAG